GGGGGGGGGGGGGGGGGGGGGGGGGGGGGGGGGTCAACGTCGTTCCATGTCGAGTCGCCCCCACAAACAAAACTGGCACACAAACATAACGAAGCTCGGCCGACAACACGCCGGCCGTGCCTGGTGGCAACACAGGAGATTGACAAACGCACCGCGGCACGAAAAAGGAGGCAAAAAAATATATGTCGATACGGGCAACAAAAGAGTGCCGAAGCCTCGACCAGACAGTCAGGCAGCCACCAAAAACAGTCAACCAACACCACCACGCACCCGAGTACGGGTGCAAGTGTAGCAGCAACAAGCGTGGAGCTAGCAGCTAGTGAATGTGATTACCTTGGCCATGAAGTCGGCCGTGGCGATGTTGAGCTGCTCCAGGGGGTACTCCTCCTCGAATCCTTCCTCGTCCTCGTCCCCCTCCAGCAGACCCGTCGCGGGGTCCACATCCAACGCCTGGACCGAGAAGACACGCACATAGACGGTTAGACGCAGCTCGGTCAGATGGTTGCGCGCGCGAAGCTATTAAAGGAAAGGAAGCACACACACTTGCTTAGAGTTTGTTTTCTCGCTACAAGACTGACGTCTCTTGTTTGGTCCGCTGGCTAGAGTGGTCGATACTAAGGGAACATACATATGATTAGAGAGTGTTCGTGCTTACATATGACTAGAGAGTGTTTGTGTTTAGTTTCTCGCTACAAGACTGACGTCTCGTGATTGGTCTGCTGGTCAGCGCGGTCGGTGCTAATGAAGGAAACACACACAATAAGATTGAGCCCTCCCCTTGCATTTCGAAAGCGGGACACTGTCTTCCAACTCACGCGCGCCCCTCCCTCGTCGGTGTAACCGTTTGAACTAGAAACTGTTCGTATTTTTCCCGTTAAAAGACTGGCGGTTTTTCAATGGTCAGCCGGCTAGCGCGGTCGATGCTGACAACAAAAACACAGCACACGCACACAAAAAAAAACACACGCAGGTGACCTCAGGTACAATGAGACACTCGTCTTGTCATTGGTCAGTCGGTTGGCGCGGTTGATGCAAAAAAAAAACAAAAACAAAGGGAAAGTAGGCAACCAACCCACGGAGCGACATGGATGATCATGACAGACAACATCCAAAGAAGAGGAGGTAGCCAGCAGGGAATGAATCGAAAAAGGAACCAACCAACACGAGCGATCGCCGGCTGCATCTACATCCGAAGGCTGCGTTGCCGATAGAACTAACGAGGCGAAGGACGAGTTAATCGGTCCCTGTTTTCTTCAGGAAGACCGAATGCAAAACAAGTCGTAGGGACTATCATCTGCCTTCCCATCCGCAGGCCCCCTCTACGAAACAGCACCCTGAGTCACAGCGGAACCGGGGGGGGGGGGGGGGGNNNNGGGGGGGGGGGGGGGGGGGGGGGGGGGGGGGGGGGGGGGGGGGGGAACATGTGTGAACACACACAATTGCAACGCAAGACATGGTAAGCTTACGCCAAAACGCGAAACAACGAGCCGACCCACACAAGGCTTTTCTCTCGGACGGCGGGCCTGCCTGCCTACCTGCCTGCGAGAGGTTGAGGGCGGCCGCGTACCGCCGTTGTCATCAACAACTGCCGTAATGCCATAAGAGGCGAGAGGTGGCACGTCCCCTGCACCGATATTCAAAGCTCGATTGCTCCACGACCAAGATTGTCTGTACCGTACCGTATACCGTACCGTGTTATTCCGTAAGAGTCGGAGAGATGGCACCCCCCCTAGACTGACTTTCAAACCTCGATTGTCCTACGACCAATATTGTCTGTACCGTACCGTATACTGTACCGTAGTATTCCGTAAGAGTCGGAGAGATGGCACGTCCCCTAGACCAATTTTAAAAGCTCGATTGCTCCACAACTAAAGTTCGTGCCACACCGAAAAGGTCGGTTTTGGAAACATCTCGTCGAGGGCTTTCCGTAGCATTGTCGGGCTCTTTTCCGTGCCCCATTGTTTGTGAGGAGCAATCGAGGTTTGAAAGTCAGTCTAGGGGACGTGCCATCTCTCTGACTCTTACGGAATACCACGGTACGGCATACGGTACGGTACAGACAATCTTGGTCTTGGAGCAATCGAGCTTTCAAAGTCGGTCTGTTGGGGGCGTGCCATCCCTCTCCCTCCAACGTTTTACCTCCGATTCTCGAAGCTACGTAACACGAGCTTCGCGTGTGACGTGACTACTGCTGTTGCCCATGACCTCTCCACAGCGTGTGCATGTCCATGACATTTATGGCCGAGGTAGAGGGCTCAGCGGCGTTTCCCTACTCCGGACATGGGCTACGACTAATCGCAGCTATTTGCACCTAACAAAGAAAAAAATGGGGGGCTTTGCGCATGAGAACACGTGCTTTTAGTACTTTACGTCACTCACAAATCTCGCAACTTGCGCGCATGGGCCCCAAAACACCAACCAAGACGCCACGCGTCTATGAAACGCAACCGAAGAAAGAAGGTCCCGAGCAAGACAGTGGGAAAGATGACGCGAGAAAATAGGTACAAAGAGGTGGTTTTGGCCCCACAAGAACAAAGAAGCGTCTACATCTGGAACGTGAGCTCGCAGGAGAAAGAAGCACGGCCAAAAAAGGCGTACAACCGTACCTGGAACTTGAGCTCGCAGGAGAAGGCCGCGGGCTCGGCGGCGTTGCCTTCCGCCAGCTTCAGCACCACGTATGCGTGCCCGGTGTCCCCGCACTTGAGCTCCGGCAAGGCTACGCTCGCTTCCACCTCGTACAGGTCCGGTTCCGACTGCTCCACCTCGACCGTCACGTTGCGCAGCATCTAGGGGGGGGGGAGGGCGACGTTGTATGGAAGGAGTGAACGCATATCTCGCAGTAGGAGAGTAGAGCGTTCTTTGGGGCAAGGACGAGGGTGGTGGGAGTGTTTGAGGGAGTGAGCCGCACATCTTCATTTTGTACTACAACTATTAATACGGCGGCGGTGGGGGGGTTCGTGAGGACTTGTCTCCGGGGAAGTGCCGGTTGGGGTCTCGTTGCGCAGTCTTCCATCTCTTTACAGTACAAAGCATCCGGATACGAATTGGCGTTTGCGGGTTCGCAACGGCAAAAATCAACCGCGGGTAAATGGTACCACGAAACACCGCTGCAAAGCGACGGACAAAAAAAACAGTCATCATGTCTGCTGCGCCCGGCTTGTTAAATATCAGAGGCAGTGTGAACAACACGGTCCAGTGCAAACCCAGTGGTTCAAGGGGTATGGCATGCAGGTAAACAGACAAGGTTGTAGCAGTCACCGCAACAGGCGACCACAAAAACATTGGAATGGCCATAGCAGCGAAACACGAACTGCGGCATAGAGAGGTCGGGCGTCAACACACATACCTGCTCCTCGATGGTGTTGGAAATGGTGAAGTCGAGCACCACGTAACCGTCCATGATGTGCTTCACGCAGCGGACGACGTATTCGGTCTCCGACTCGGTCAGCTCGACCGGCGTGGTCGAACGGAACACGCGTCCGAGCCTCTCCAGTTCCGGCACCTGTTGTTGGCGAAACACGGCAGTGGGGGGGGGGGGGG